GGGGGGGGGGGGGGGGGGGGGGGGGGGGGGGGGCGCGTAATAAACACACACCTATCTCTAGGCTCCACTAGTAAAGCGTGTGGGTTTGGGATATAGTATTCTTGTCCAGATGCCTAAAAACCTCAACTTCATAATAACAGATTATCGATTTCCACGAGGAATACGGTTTAGGTACAACTACCATCAGGCACACAGTTTGCATATCACCCAGACACTTGCTTTAATTGGTCATTCCTAGAAAACGAATCGAAAAGCTAAGAGAGAGCTGTCTTGAAATTTCCTTGAGCAATCGTATAAATTTCCCCAATCGACGTTTTCCATTGGAAGAGTCGAAGTCTACAACATAAAGCGGGAACTAACACTGGGAATGGGTGCGATTCGCGAACAAGGTTGAAAACCATGTATTTCCAAGGGGTCCTATTGGCGTGTACTAAATCGAGGCATGCGCTCAATGGAAGGTAAACCCATCTACAGGTTGCACATACTGGCCAGCTGCCTTTGTGAAGGGGCCAGGTATAGTATCCATCAGAGCGTGCACTGTGCAGTACACTGAGTACGCGTCCGTTCCTCCTGACCCTTCCTGGTGCCGTATGAAAAAGGTACGCTATTTGAGGGATTCCCGCTTTCGCACTGACACATCATATGCATGCCATCATTGCATTCTCCCCTCGGAATGCCTATAAAGCACCTACACCTCATTCTTGCCATCCCCAACCCCAAGGGCATCACCTACTTCCAATATCAGATGACGTGAAGATGCATGACGCAAAAATCTCCAAATTTGAAACCCTCAGGAATCAGGCTCTCTCAATTGGCCTCTTTCCTACATAATCATGCGGTACTTACAAGTTCTATTCATCATTAAAACATGAATCAGGAGAAATTGAAATCTGAAGCCCTGGGAAGGCTCCTCAAAACTTCAATACGAAAGAATGAACTTTAAGGAAGTGACCCTCCGTAGTAGAAAAATGTCAATTGCTATAATTATATGCCGGCTGCCTAGCAACATATCGACTGACCATTTTCGAGAGTCCTGAGGATGCAGTCCAGAAAAGAAAGAAAAGATGATCATTCGCACTTCTGATCACGGGAACTGTGATGCAAAATGATCCTTCTCTCCTTCCCTTCTCGGAATGCACGACATTCACTCGTTATCACCCCTAGACATCTATCACACCAGTAAAGACTGGTAATAGACCTGAACCTGTGTTCATCTGACCATTGCAGACCCATCTGCATTCACAAGCAATACTAGCAGCATCTTCTATTGCAGATCCTACAAGGAAACATTGAACCACATAGTAAATAATTAAGTCAACGAATCGGTATGGATCCGATATGATCGCCAGGACAAAGGCGAGGGCGATCGGCAGCTATAAAACATTCATCAACATCGATTGCTACGCGGGAACCATGGAGAACTTGCTACCTCGGTCAACACATGTCCAGCACGCTGCTACAACGATAGAGTCCTACGCAGAAGTAGTAAAAGGGACCGCGGACCAACTTCTGCTCCTATGGAATGCGAACCCGCGGGACTCCGAGTAGTACTACGCAGCGCAGCAGGGTCTCTCGGATCAATAGTCGTTCACTCCCTTGCTCCTCTTACCTCCTTGTTCTCCCTACGCCGAATTCCGAAGACTTGCTCCTGAAATGTTCACAGCGTCCGAGCAAAGGATTTGCTGCAGCATCGGGATCTGTCTCCTGATCGCTGTGTTGAGTGGCGTGGCATTGTTAAATCTTACCGTTTATGTGACCTTTCCAGCGATGAGGCTTATCGATGCAAACTTTCAGGAAAGGCCAGTGGTTTGTACGACCTTGGATGCAGCAGACAACATAAAGGAAGGCTGTGAATGGGGCACGTGCGGCGAATGGTGTCTCTCTAAGTCCAGCGGGTGCATGCAGATCTGGGTGTTGGTGAGACAGAACGGGTCGGATATGAAAGCCTCCGGATGTCAAGGGAAATCCCTCAAACAAGAAGATTGCTATCCCGTCACCATTGAAGAAATCAAATCTATCAATTGTGCCGAAAAAGAGTGCAAACAGATTACCATGGATGGACTGTTTATCTGCAAGGAAGGCAAGTGTAAGGAAATCACAAACATGTTCACTTGCCCTAAGGATGTGTTAGAGGAAAATGTCAAGAACTGCAAGACAGTGTTCGATTGTGAAGAGCTAGATGGGTTATATCAATGCTCCAAAAGCCTCTGTCAACGGCTGGTCAAGGAAGATCCCGACCACGAAACTCACGACTCCGCAGACCCACACTACATTCCAAGAGAACTTACAGAATGCAAGGAGACATGCACCAATGTGAGGACTGAAAGAAGAAATATGTTAGTACTCCATGGATACTCCATCTTCATGGCTACATGCACCAAACTATCGACAGCAGATGGGAAGCATGTCCTCCCATGGGATGGAAACCAGACAGCTATGGTCATCTGCTCTCGAGTGTCCAACACTAGCATGAATCAGAAAGGGGAAGTTCAACTGAATCTTCATGATTGCTTCCATGGAGTGGAGGTAAAATTGGAAGATAAAGGATACAGCATCAAAGATCTCATGTCCATCCACAAGAATTCAGACTCTGGGATTGATCCTGATGGTCATTTCATGCCTCTCTTGGATGAAGGAGCTGTCATCTACAACAAGACCAGACTCATGGTGAACCTGGAAGGGTGTGTTAATTCCCTGAGGGATGAATGCCGGGAGATATTCAATACAATGGGGAAGGATGGCCAAGATGGTGTTCATCCACCAGCCATCTTTCCATGCTACTACTCTCCACACTTGAGTGATACAGTGATCCTGAAGCACAACCGAGAGAGGACAGTCATGGAAGGAATTCTGTTTGCAGCAATCCCCCTAGGTCTTCTTATCCTTTCCTGCTCTACACTCTGCTTGTGTTCTAAAATTGTGCATGTAGAGGGGGAGAGAATGCGGATTCATTGCTGTCCTGGGTCATCAGGCCCCCACCACCGTCACCCTCATGGACCCAGAACCTCACCACCTAAGACCATGGCACTTTAATAGCACTGCACTTACTGTGAGTGCATGCAGTCTATTTGACCTGTACTAACACTAAATGCTAAATAGCAATTATGAAACTATTCAGGAACAAAAAATAATTTCTATTGTCCCCTTTCAGAAAGTGAAGGGAGTGTGAGGATGAGATCAAGAGGCAAAAAGATTGGAGGAGGAGATGCAGGACAGAAGAAAGAGCAAAAGAACCCATCCACTGTTATGGAAAAAACTGCTTCAAGTCCATGTCGACAACGTTCCAATTCCACAAAGTCTAACAGAAAGGGAAGCCTGAAAAGCAGTAGAATCAACCTCTACAATGGTAATGCACAGAAACACACATCTTATGATGACCTGGGCCCAGACGTTGAGGTTACTTGGAATGAATATGGGATCCCAATTGTGACAAGGCGAGCACCTCCCTTCCAAGAAAAATTCAAGTTTGTCATGACTGTCCTCTGCAGTCTCACTATCATACTTGATTGCTTTGTCTTCCTCTTCTTGATTCCTTTTGTCATTGATCCATGCATTTCAACCATATTGGCTCAATTCAGTGAAGATCCAGCTTTGTGCATCACAAGCAATGTCAACAGACTTGTTGGGAATACCAACTGCAGCTGGAGTTCTTGTCGTGAGGGCTGTACTGCACCCACTGTCAGGTGCACCCAAATCTATGTGCATTATATGACAAGAGAAAATCATGATTATCCAAATCTACTCGATTCAGCTACCCAATCTGGCCAATTACCAACATCTGAGATCTCCAGCTATCGCTGGAATATGCTTAATGCTGCTCTATACATTAACACCAAGGGATGTGGTTATTCTCCTTATGTGATCTGCTCAGATTTTGAAGACATGTATGGATACATTGGAAAGTTGTATGAATGTCACTACAGCTTTGTGAATATGAGTCGAGTGGTTGTAGAGTATTCCCCTCAAGAGAACCTCTTGAATCTCATTCTTGCCTCAGGAATTCCATTCATCTTGTTTGTTATTCCAACATCAATTCTTTGCTGTTGGTACTGCAACTGCTGCAGAGAATCCTCATGCTGCTCTGATCCTTCACATGATAGTGAATCCACGTAAGAGTCTCCTGACATGACTGTTCCAATATAAATTAATATAAAACAAGTTCTTTTCTTATTAAATTGACAATGAAATGTCAACCATCTCTGCATTTTACAGGTCAAGCAATGGAAATGGAATGTTCATGCCCTCAAGCATAAGTGCTCAACTAGATGCAGTACAGAGCCAATCTTCCCATTACCATCTGAGCCCTCATCCCTCAAGGCCCTCCTCAGCTCCTGAGAAATTGAAACAGTGATAACTGAACCTAAGCAACTGTCCCTCCACATTCTCAACAATTTGAATCTCAAAACGAATCAGAATAACATCTCACATCTCTGATTTTGATCTCACCAGCTTTTGTGTTGCAGGTGCAGGGTTTGTTCCTTCACATATATGGTGTGCATTTGAGCCTTTGATATGGAGACCAGAGTTGCACATTGAATGGTCCAAACTTGTGTGTGTGTGTGCAATGATGGCAAAAATTTCACAGTGGGAGGGGATTGTAGTTGGGCAAAGTCTACAATTGACAAACCTATTACTGAGAGTAGACTACCAAATCTTGGAGTCTGTAGTCTTCTATCCTCACTGCTTAGAAGTTTCCATGCAGGCTAATGTAGAAGTTGCGGAAAATTTCCTGCATTTTTGCATTATTTGCAGACAATTCAGATGAGAGGCCAGTCTTGTAGGACAGGGCGCAGGAAACTTTTTTTTTTACCCAATGTGCAACTCTGATTCAGACTATATGGAATCTGCCCGTCCTTCCTTGCCTCTTTTCTAGTTTGAATTTCCTGTCCTCATATTTGTAAAGAATATGATTCCCTTCTTCATGAGAAAGGATGACTGTCATTTTTTGCCCTTGCCTTTGCATCCAAGTATGCATCATACCACAGGTAGCAGAGTCTCACACACATAACTATTGAGATGCCAGCACAATCCCCAGACCTCTGTCCACTCAACTTTTACTTATCGGGATACAGCAAGAATGAAGCCTTCAGAACAAGCCAGATATTGCAAAACTCAAGGGAACAAATAAACGGGCAGTTCGAGGCATTCCACAGGAAGTACTGAAGGCAGCAGTACAAAACTTCTCTTGGCATCTTTCAAGGCTGTTCTGGGGCTAGAGACTCATTTCGAACTTGTTTTCCACTAGGACAAAAAATTTTTTTCGTTTCTCTGCTATTTTGTTTTTTGTTTGAAGTGCATGCTCATTACAATAAAGAAGTTATGGCAATTCAAAATGGTAAACGTTTTTGTGAAACACCTTGCATAATATAAGTGTTTCCCTGTATAATTGAATCTACATTTATTTATGTTAAAGATCTATTTCAGAATGTGATAACATAACATAGGAGCATAAGAGTAGCAGGTGCATTAACATATGATGCTCCCTTTGCAATTAATCTTATTAGGCAATTACCAATATGTCAGGGTAAGTCATTGGAATATTATGCCACTAACCATTCAGGGTGGGGGGCCAGATTTCACAAAGGAAAAGTTGAGAGGAAGATTTGGGACTCTCCTTAACCCTCAACTGGTATTTATTTTTTTTTCCTTGTTATAACTGGTATCGTGGGGTCAATTGACCCCAGCAATAAAAATCTTGACAAAATGAAGGCATTTTTTAGATGATTTACTGAGTTTCCTGGCTACCTTCACAGCAATGAAGCAGCATGATAGTAGCATATTCCTAGAACTAATCCTGGCATCAATATTTGCCAAATGAGATCAATTGTGAAAGGAGCATCATATGTTAACCCTTCAAGCACTGAGTTGTCACTCGACCTCCTAAGTGATGCACGTAAGGTGTACGTGAAAACAGCTTGAAGGGTTAATGCAACTGAAGCCACATTTGTGAAAATGCAATGAGAAGGCATTCCTCTTAACATATGTATGGTATACCTTGTACATCTGTTGCATTCAACTTTCCTTATATCATGCATGCTTTTTCCTAAAATACAACATCCACCAAAGCAGCACATTTGACTTTCTTATTACCACATTTGACCTAGAAAACCTATACATGCTGCTGTGTGCACTGACATGGTCAAAATGCAAGAGGAAGATAGCACAGAGGCCTGACTTGGGATAGCACCAGTGCAGTTCTTATGATACTTTTGAAAGGCAAACTATGGTGTACCATGTGAGCAGTGAGCAGTAACTGTCTTCTCTTCCTCCAATAGGACAACCATCACAACACCTGATATTGACAACACTGCAAGCATCTTCCCAACACTCTGAGTGCAACATACCTCCTTCAGTCTCAGGGTTTCCAGAAATAGCCACATGGTTGGCTGCCACATTGTTTCCCTATCATAATGATGTATCAAGGTTTTGTCACAGTTGAAGCTTGAAAAAGTGTCTGAGATTGCCTTTCATCCAACTTTTCCATCAAATGTACACTGATCCACACAGGCTTCTCGCTGGACTTCTGTCTGAATGTGTGGCACACAAGAGGGTGCAAATTTTTCTCACATGAAGAAGTTAACATAAAATCTTTGAAACTGCAGTTGATCCAATGCCTATATGATGCTCCAACCCTTTATAAATGATTAGCCTATTTTCCTTTATCAGAGAATCAGCACAAGCAATGTTTCCAGGTGTGATGACAAAAATCTTTCACTGCAAGGCCCATCTTCCAAGTTGGCTCATGATTATCAAAATCCACCAAACCAGTTGTAAACTGGCAGAAGATAGAGCAGATGTTTCAAACGCTTGCTGTAAATGACGGCATACAAATGCTTCTTGGGCAGCTCCATGCTGGATGTGGAGTGTGCCTTGCATGGCTGCTAACGACATTCAACCCTTGATATAGCGCCACCCGATATACTGCCACTCTCACTTAGCGCCAATTCTTTCCTGAGAACGAATCTTCCCCATAGGCTTATCAATGGCACTCCCCCTGTTATAGCGCCACCCTCACAAGCCATCCACCAATACCTTACCTTGCACAAACATGCCTTATTTAACATAAGTTGTACTTGATATAGCGCCAAGCAGCATACCATACCAGCTACAATGATTATACCATGCACTACTGTGACGGAAAAAAATAAGACATGCTGTCAGCCTTTCCTTTTGATCATTTGATAACGAGATTGTGAGGGATGACTTAGCTTTGGCACGGACAACAGGGATTAGAGGGGGGCATAAGGGGTCTCTTTAATCTGACCTAATCCTGAATCTCCTTTTCTTTCTTTTGGAGAATGGAAACGCTTCTTTCAGTTCAAAGTTTCTCCAGATGATTGTTCAAGTGTGTTCATTATCCAGTAATAGGGAAAAGGACAGTTATAAATGTGAGGGAAAAAGTGGAAGTATGTCGCTACAAAGAGGCAAATGCGGCTGGAAGTCAGCAAAGCATTGTGAATCATTTTTCTAAGCTGTGTAGTTTTTCTTCTCCATTGACAGCATGGATGAATTAAAGTGGATTTTTATTGTTGCTAATTCTATTTTACATTTGAGTTTTTTTAAAAATGTTCTATTTTAAAACCATGCATTTCGATGTAGCACCACCCTTGATATAGTGCCAAAATCGGCTTAGACCAACAGTGGCGGCATATCAAGAGTTGACTGTACATTTTATTCCCAACAACTGTGACAATATATAGACAAATCATGATAGAAGTAAATACGGAAGATAGCAATCTTCCACCTCCTAAAAATGAAATCACTTTTAAGTCTATATAGTCAATTCTTGAAACTTTTAAGCGACCATCATACTGTATACTAAATCAAAGGAGACAAAGAGAACTTTCCATCTATTTAGAATTTGTTGTGACAATAGAATGGAATTTCAAGCAACATATTGGAAAGGGAAGGGCTATATCCACTCAAGATGCTCAGATAAGTGCTTTTTATTTATTTTGGAATGGAATATTTAAGGAATAGCCCTCATATCATTATATCACTACTGAACTTATTTTCAGTTATCTTTCAAGACTTGGCACTAGTGTATGAGTAGTGCTGTATAGCTCCTAATGCAGTGATTGCAAGTGACTAGGAAATTTTAATTTGAACTTTGAATGGAGATATGAATAATGCTATTTTTATGTACCTTATCAGGGGATAGTCATAAGGCAGTTGGAATTTCCAACATAGCCAAGCACACCTATGCAATGCACATGCACAATCAAAAGTTGCACTTTCTAAAACCAGATGTATTGCCCAGGCTTAGCCATTTCTTTCTGAGCTCTTGCAATGAGGGGTTCATATCGGGCTCTCCATGGCACTCATAACACTATATTGGTATCCTTTCAAATAAACAAATGCACTTGGGCTCTATGTAGTGGCTTTCCAACAACTCTGCATTGCTTTAAATTGTTTTAATAGCCATTGGCCTTTCTTTTCTTTCATTGTGATTTGAAAGAAGAATGTGGAGAAGTAATGGCCACAGATGTCTTGACGATCACAGTACTTGGTAAACTCGCAGGAAGGAGGTTCTTTCTAAAACTTTCAGTCATGTGTCACTTTAAATATCCATTGCCAATATGCTATAGGATGACAATAGAACATTTTCTCTGGGCAGGATTTGTCCCTGGCTGGCCTTGGTGCCACTTTTATGCCTATATATTAATCATTTACCATTCTCTCTGCTTCTCTTCACTTAACAATCAATCTCCCCAACTTGTATGAAATTTTGCTTTCTTATATTACCAGATTGCTGAGCAAAACAAGTGAGCTACACATGAAAGCATGAATGGTGTCTCTCTCCACATACCTTGGATCTTAAGAGATCATACAATTTAACATGACAATATGTTACTCCATCAAACATCTGGAGAAATTCCATCTGATATGCATTGCCAACTTGTACATCCTGCCATATGTAAAAACAGGTGTGTCAGACTTGCAAGATTCCATAGCTTGATAAGTGATTAAATGGCAAGAGATCCAATTCTGCCATTATTGTGTAAAAATGAATGCAGGCCTACATGGATGTGCTTGATGGTTTATGATCACTAGAAGGCTCAGTTACAATTCCTGAAATCACTTTCAAGTTCTTTAGTTTATTCTCAAGTTCTCTAGTGAATGACTGCAGATAAACTCTTAAAGGAAGGATGCCACTATCTACAAAAAGCACTCTTACACGAAGACATTCACTTGAGTGACTGAAGTCACCACATTCAACTGTCCTAATCCATACTCTAGGGATCTCTATGCAGTCATCAAGTTGTGGTGGCCTCCCTATCCTTACAATTACCTATAAACTGACTGATCACACTTGACTTTCAGCCTTGAATCTGATGCATGTCAGGAAAGTAGTCCTAAACAGAGACCAAGTGAAGCACATTCCTTCAGTATTGGGCCAAAAGAGCAAGAAAGTCCCTTTTTCTCACCCCATTCAATTCATTCAATTTGCTTCAGTACTTTAAGAGATATAGTATTTTTTGTACAGTAACTCGCTCCAAGCTTAAGACTCCAAGCAGAAAAATGGCAGGCAGAGGGAGAAATTTACCACCTAATACTGAGTGGCAGTGAATGTGTTAAGACAGGGTTGGGAACCTATGGCTCATGAGCCAAATTAGGTTCACAAGCCGAAAAGTTTGGCTCATTGAGCCATGACTGAAAGTCATGGTTGTTCCTCATTTTTCTCATGTATCGAATGCATATGCCTGTTGCTAACTTCAGGAAAAATTTGGTTGTTCTGAAAATCTTTCGCTCACAAGCACTTACCTCAATCTTAATATGGCTCACATGGTCAAAAAGGTTCCAGACCCTTGTGTTAAGAGAATATGATACCACAATATCTGACCTTGAGTTCCTCTTGCTTTTGGAACTGATGCATCATCAATTGCTTTTGCTCTTCCACACTCATGACAGGTTCTCGTGATGGTGCACCATGTCCTTTCTTCCCCACCTTAACCACAGCTGTTGTTTTCTCATTTGTGCCAAGAAATGCCTTCAGGGGCTGATCTTCTGGCAACTTCTTCCCTGAGAACCAAAGTTCACCCTCTGTCCTTTCAATCACCTGATTGAGAAAAGGCATAGACCTCTTCATTCATGATGTACAGAATATTCAACAAGCATTTACTTCAGGCTTCAAGTTTGTATGCACTGACATCTTGGGCAACAGGTCCCTGGAGCTCTTCCTTACTATCTAATTCCAACTGTATGAGATCATGTGGAGGTAGCCCCATGGGATAGACAATCATGACTGCTCCACGAATAATATCTAAAGCACTCTCTGCCATTTTCTCTGTCATCACTATGCCAGCTTCAACTTGCCTCTGCAGGAAAAGAGAGGTTCCTCAGTGAGTGGAGAATTTCCCATGAAGAATGATTTCCTCAAAGTGGAAAATAATTACTGACTGGAGAAACTATATGTCTCGCATCTGTAATGGCTTTTTTCAAAACTTCTCTCATTTTCTCATTTGGAGCATGTCCATTACGTTTCCCAATGGGATCTGCACGTAATTCGCACCCTCCGGATGGAACACAGATTGGAGTCCACTTGTCAATGAGTCTGAGCTCCTCGATCTGCTGAGCTGTCAATCCAACCATGTCGGGCGGAAATGCAATACCATGCTCACTCAGGTCTTCCAGACCTGGAAAATACAAAGAGCTCTATCTCAGGCACTGACTTAACATTATGGTTAGGCCTAAGAAAGATTTATGAACTTCAACCCTAAGGTTGTGCCCAAAAACTACAAGAAAATGTACCTACCTCTACAAAGTCTCTCAACTTTCAGTATCATGCGAAAAATGCGACAAATAGCATCCAAGGCGTCTTTCACCATCGAATCGCATGTCATATGGAGCAAAAATAAAGAAGAGTTGCCTCTCTTCACGTGAAGCTTCATCTGATAATGAGAGATTCTGAAAATGACGGATCCTGCAACAAAAACTTAGCTTAGATTGGACGGGATGCGATTTTTATTTTCCAATATGTTGCTCTGATCGACCAAACACGTGTGGAGCACGTCTGCAAACGTGGGTCACCATAAGGCCTGAAGCGCTGAGTTTGCGCATTCGTGGTCAGGAATAAGTGCGTCACTTTCGTCAGCACAGATTCAAGTGTGATCAGCGAGGTGAATACAAAAGGAACGGTAGTGGATATACCTCAGGGATCAACCTCATGATGTGGATGTTCTTGGAGTTGTTCTTACGCACTCGCGTGTATGCAATGAATTGCGCTTAACTTGTCTTTGATGACTTACCTTCAGTCCTTCATTTGCTCATTGGAGTAGTGGCAGCCAGTGGCGTAACAAGGCCCCCCCCCCCCCCCCCCCCCCCCCCCCCCCCCCACCC